TGAGTAACCTTGGCAATGTCGTTTACCTACACCGGCGGGGGTCATGATTTGAACAATTTAGAATTTACACTATTCTAGGATGCTTCCAGTAAGTTTCAGCTTTCCTGGCCCAGCGGTTCTTGGGAAAATGATTTTAAAAGATTTTTCCTATACATTTTGTATATTTATTTCATTGTAAAACATGGATTCACTATATATTAATCGTGGCCCCGCCCTACCCCTGGGGTCGTGATGTGAACAATTTAGAATCTATACACTACTCAAGGATGCTTCCACATAAGTTTCAGCTTTCCTGGCTCAGTGACTCTTCAGAAGAAGGGTCTTTTTTTTATAACTCCATTTTGTCTTTTCTTGATGATCTCGATCACCTTGTAAGAAGGACTTGGCTCTTCATTTAACAATTTAAGTGAGCTAAAAGTATATGAAACGGATAAAATCAAAATTTCAAATTTCAAAGTCTGACAGAAATCCGAAGTGCACGATATTTATTTAAAAAAAAATTAAACTTTATGTGAATACTTCGAATGCACTTTATAAAAATAAATATACCAATGAAGACATCATTATTTTGAGCTATATTGGTAAATCATAACAGGTAAAATATTGTAATAATCAGTGATTGTACTTCGACTTTTGACACTTAGAACATACTCTCTCTCATAACGAACATGGTTAACACCCTATCATATTCCTAGTAGTGTATCAACCCTGATACAAGCATTTTGGACATAGTACAGTGAGAATAAGACTGTTTCGCTTTCACGACTAAGGACGGGCTGTCTCAGCCCGACCGTTGTGTATTCAAACAACTGTTAAACTGTGCAACTAGCATTTTATATGTACATGTATGTAATTTGACCAATACAATCTATACTGCACTTGAGATTTTTCTTTTATCTTACGATGCCATGTACGATTTTGATCTCCTACTCTGGCACAAACTTCTCCCTGTGGGTAGGATCTGAACAAACAGGAGTCCAAACTGCAGTAGAAAGTGTCACATGCGCGTTTTATTTTTTTACAGTGGTTCTGAGGATTTTATCTTTTACAGTGGTTCTGAGGATTTTATCTTTTACAGTGGTTCTGAGGATTTTATCTTTTACAGTGGTTCTGAGGATTTTATCTTTTACAGTGGTTCTGAGGATTTTATCTTTTATAGTGGTTCTGAGGATTTTATCTTTTATAGTGGTTCTGAGGATTTTATCTTTTACAGTGGTTCTGAGGATTTTATCTTTTATAGTGGTTCTGAGGATTTTATCTTTTATAGTGGTTCTGAGGATTTTATCTTTTACAGTGGTTCTGAGGATTTTATCTTTTATAGTGGTTCCGAGGATTTTATCTTTTACAGTGGTTCGGAGGATTTTATCTTTTATAGTGGTTCTGAGGATTTTATCTTTTATAGTGGTTCTGAGGATTTTATCTTTTATAGTGGTTCTGAGGATTTTATCTTTTATAGTGGTTCTGAGGATTTTATCTTTTATAGTGGTTCTGAGGATTTTATCTTTTACAGTGGTTCTGAGGATTTTATCTTTTATAGTGGTTCTGAGGATTTTATCTTTTATAGTGGTTCTGAGGATTTTATCTTTTACAGTGGTTCTGAGGATTTTATCTTTTATAGTGGTTCTGAGGATTTTATCTTTTACAGTGGTTCGGAGGATTTTATCTTTTATAGTGGTTCTGAGGATTTTATCTTTTATAGTGGTTCTGAGGATTTTATCTTTTACAGTGGTTCTGAGGATTTTATCTTTTACAGTGGTTCTGAGGATTTTATCTTTTACAGTGGTTCTGAGGATTTTATCTTTTACAGTGGTTCTGAGGATTTTATCTTTTACAGTGGTTCTGAGGATTTTATCTTTTACAGTGGTTCTGAGGATTTTATCTTTTATAGTGGTTCTGAGGATTTTATCTTTTATAGTGGTTCTGAGGATTTTATCTTTTATAGTGGTTCTGAGGAATATAAGGACGCTTTTAAGTATTTTTTATTCCCCTTTTCCCTCTAAAACAAGGAATGGCCTTTTTGTACAAACTTGAAGTCCCTTCACCCAAGGATGCTCTCTACCAAATTTGCTTGAAATTGTCTTAGTGTTAAACGATTTTAAAAATATATTGTATTTCTTAAACACGAATACTTTTTTTAATTTCTTGTAAAGAAATGGATTTTCCCCAATATATCTGAAAGATAGAACTCCAAAAGAGTATAACATGAATACGTATTCCCTTTTACACTTTGATAAACCAAATGGTTTTTGAATTCCTCCCTGCAGGCTATAGAATACTTTTCTCCCTTTTTCATAACCAATACAAAGTTTAGGGAGATTTGCACTACAACTTACTCTGATAAAGCGGTGCGGTTAAACATGCACGTATACAGGATAATGGACAGCAAGCAAAAAGACATTTAACCATTCCCTTCAGACGAGAAAAAGACAAAAGCGTGCAAAAAAATTTACAATGAAAATATTCAATAAGAGGCCCACGGGCTACATCGTTCACCTGAGTAACTTTTGCCATACTGTTCTTTACCAGACCCCCCACCCCTTAGTAATACATATTGTAACTCCAACGTACCCACAGGAGTCATGATTTTTAAAATTGTTTACATTACCTGAGGAAGCTTCCACATAAAGAACGAGGGCGCCTTTGATTGGCATTCGGCAGAAATCTGGGCGTAACTGAAAATTAAGGTCAGACGACACGTTCCTTAAATTTATGTTTTGTATCTCGTAGTGTTATATAAAAAAATATTCATATTTGTCATTTTCTTCTGATTTCTACATTATTTTCAGAATGTTTTTAAATATATAAGTACACCAAAACTGTGTTATAGGCCAAATTGAAGATTACCCATAGGGGCTATGAAAGAAATATGAACCTTATGATGGTATCTTTGCCAAATGCCTGGTAAGGTACCCTAATTTTTGTAAGGAAACTTCAATGACAAATTCTTAGGACAAATTATATATTTTTGAGGAACGTGTCGTCTGACCTTATGTGAAAATTTTATGGACATGTCACATGAAATTTTAACATTTTTTTAATTTATTGGGTTCTTGTGCAAAAGGAAAGGAAAATATTTTCTCGAAATTGAGCTTTGATTTGCTAAAAAATAACTTGAAAACTGGCCAGATCAGACATGTACATTTGGTACAAAAAAAAACATTTTTAAACACGTTTTTCAACAAATTTTCTATCTCTGGGTTTTCTCTCCATGATTTTGAAACGTTATTTGTATGTATTTTAATTCAAGGAAACGAATGCACTTTTTTTAAAAAATGGAAAGAAGACCCAGAGACCATGAAAAATGATAAATGAACTATTCTCCAAAAAATCCAAATCTTTGAATGTGGTGTGTTGCAACCACTATTGAAATAACGACCACTATTGAAATAATTATATCAATAGTGGTTGAGAGTGTATTTCAATAGCAAACATAGTTAGTTACCACTATTGAAATACAACCACCATTGAAATAATTATATCAATAGTGGTTGAGAGTGCATTTCAATAACAAACATAGTTAGTAACCACTATTGAAATACGACCACTATTGAAATAATTATATCAATAGTGGTCGAGAGTGCATTTTAATAACAAACATAGGTAATAACCACTATTGAAATACGACCACTATTGACATAAATATTTCAATAGTGGGTGAGAGAGCATTTCAATATAGTAACCATAGGTTTCAATCACTATTGAAATACTACCGGTATTGAAAGAAAAGTTTCACCACGTCATCAACTTTTGAAATAATTATTTCAATATATATTGGATTCATTGTTCAGTGCACTATTGAAATCAATAATTTAATCCACATTGAAATCTTTATTTCAAAAGTGAACATTATTTCAATAGTGGTTACTATCTATATTTGTTATTAAAATGAATCTTACCCACTATTGAAATAATTATTTCAATAGAAGTCATATATCAATAGTGGTTACTATCTAAGTTATTAAAATACACTCTCACCCACTACTGAAATAATTATTTCAATATCGGTCATATTTCAATAGTGGTTATTACCTATGTTTGTTATCAAAATGCGCTCTCAACCACTATTGATATAATTACATGTATTTCAATAGCGGTTGTATTTCAATAGTGGTTACTATCTAGGTTTGCTATTGAAATGCACTCTCAACCACTATTGATATAATTATTTCAATAGTGGTTGTTATTTCAATAGTGGTTGCAACAGTGGTGCTTCTTTGTCCTTTTAATATCATCTATATACGTGTAGCGGCGATAGCTCAGTAAGTTGGCCTACCTGTTCAGTGCGCTCGAAGCAAAAATTTGTTGGCTCGAACCTGGCATGGGGCGTTGATTTTTTTTTTACAAACAACCATTTATTTTGTCAGTTTAATTTCGTCGTATTATGAACTGATGTATTAAAATTTTGAATTACCAAGCAAGATGCCCTGCCTTCTTTAAAGGGGGGGGGGGGGGAATAAAAATAAAATCCTGTAGCAATGTTGAATACACAAAAATGTCTCTGAAAAATAACATTTTTAAAATATCCATGAACAAGAATAAAATTTGTATCTTTATAATTTCTTTTATTTTTCATCAATTGGTAAAGAACATTCCAGGAGTTTTCTGAAGTTTGTACATTTCCTTACTTACCAACAAACACTTTTTTTACTTATCCAAATAGAAACAGAACTTCAGGATACAATTGCATGTAAATGTAATGAGATAGTAACAAAACAATAACTTGTACCTTACACACAATCACAAAACTAACAACAAAAGCAAATACAACCTGCAGTCTCTCACCAGATCTAACAGTACTACAATAATAATCACCTGTTCAAAATCCTCGGAGGAATAGTTCGGTTTGTAATAGGCTTATATATAATAAGCAGATACATATTTTATTTGAGACAAATCTAAAAAAATGGAAGATTTGGTATCCAAATTTAGAAAAAAAATTTCAGACAAACCTTTGAATTCTCAGTTGAAATGTTTTCCAGCTCTACATTCTGAATGATTTTTTGTTGTTGCTTTTACAGTGAAATACTCATGAGAGATGACTAAGTTATTAAGATTGGTCACAGGAAACTGCAGCTAGTTCAGACCAGCAGAGGCAGCAGTGTATATGTATACATAATAATAATAATGAGTAAAACAATCTATAATAGACTTGTCAGACATTGTGAATCTACACATTCCCACCACAACAAATAAATAATAATTTATCTCTCCCTGTAATTTCCACAGCCGGTAATAATCAATCATTGTATTGTACAGTAATTGTTGTCAACAGATCAATGCTAGAGTTAAGTCCCCTGTTTTTATCCGTGTTGGACTTTGGACGCGATGCCAGTGGTAGGTCATGACCCTGTTTTGGGAAAGGGTTCTCTTTCACTTTCATTTTTCATCATCTCTTCCTACAATCAAGTTAAATTATAAATATATTTTTCCATTTTTTACCCATTACTAAATGATTCACATAAAAATCACTTTTTACAGAGTAGTTTTTACGAATTAAGGTTGTTGAATGTGATATTCACTAGACTGAATGCATGCTGTTCTTCAGTCGAGTCCATAGCTCCCCTTACTTGGATCCAAAGATCAGATCAGCGTCTGGGGCCCCCTTGGGGTGCTGGTATCGCACTCTCCTCTCTCGGTTAGTGTTGACCGGCATTACACGATTCAGGGATGCTATCATCTCTGTAATAGAAGAAACAGTCAATCAAAACACTCTCTTAACAACCACTCTGATAAAAAAAAATTGTTTTGAGAATTTCCATGTTCTAATTTTATTGAAATTCTGCTGTTTTAGTCTGGAAACTGAAAATAGATCCTGAATACACGTTCACAGTGTTTTCCCCAGAAAATTTTTGATGCATGGGGGGAACTTTCCTGAGTTGACGGCGCGCGGTGTGTGTCGGATAAGTTAATTGTACATGTATTTAAATGTATATATGTATTTAAATGAAAAAATACAAATTAATTATTTAATTAAATAATTTATTAATCAAATAAATACATTTTGAACAAATAGTCAATTTTACTTAAAAAATATTCAAAAATTGAATTGAAAAAAAAAATTAGAACTAATCAAAAAAATTTTGCTTTATTAAAATTTTCTCTAAGTCCACTGTCTTTTTATTGTTTTGTGTTTTGTGTTAATTTTGCTTTCTACAAATAGACCCCTATAGTGACCTCCACCTTTTTATTTTTATTATTAATTTATGTCCCTACTTTTGCAGTCTACTTGAAACAAAAAAGATGTTCATTAATATGTAGCACTAATGCTTACATGTAAATTTTGTGACAACTTACTTGCACTCATCTGATGTTTGATTTTTCCCGCTTTTGAATATAGGTGAAGGTCACTGTGTATTAATGCACATACAGTGTTTGAACCTCCCCATAGTTTATAAAGTAAATAAACATTCATAATGTTAATTAGACATGTTTATTTTCAGCACTTTCATGCAAAGAATGTCTTAAATATTATGAGTTTAACTAATGAAACATTTTTTTATGTCGGAGCATCAATGCTATTTATAGAACGACCTGTGAATGTTGGAAAAACCCACATGTGCATTAACAAGTGTATTGCTTTTACCGTGTATACTATCTGACAGCAATTTATTACTTTTTTTATGGTTATGAATTAATTATTAAAAGCTTGATACTTAGTAACATACCAGTAAATTGCAATTAAACAAACATTGACAGCTAGGCCTATTGCATATATATCATACCCCGTGCCGTGATTCGCATCGAATTGACAACAGGTGCACAGTACATGCTAGGATTCTAGTGATTTGAATTGTTTTATTGAAAGATTTGTAACTGATAACATTCACTGGGTAATAATTCATGCATAGCGGGAAGCATGGCGGCAACATGTGATGCATGGTGGGAGATAGTGAATGCATGGCGGTACCGCCATGCAAAAATGGCCTGGGGAAAACACTGCGTTCACATGACATATTTAATACTGTGACAGTAATAAGTAACATGTGACATATAATAAGTGACATGTGACATATACAAGTAACACGTGACATACAAATAGGATTAGTAACACCTGACATATACTATACAGTTACCTTGGTAGTCTTCTTCCTCCTGTCTCTCGTGGATTCCTAACACGACTTGCTTCATCTTCTCCTTCTCTGCTTTCTCCGCCTGTCAATACAACGTTCATCCTCAATTTGTAAAATGTCATTTAATTTGATCAACACATCCATAATCTCTTCATAAAAGACTTATCCACTTTTAAAATGTCATATTAATTCTGCTTGTCAGTAAACCAACAATATCTGCATAATATACTTCTTTTCTTTAACAGATGATTTTAGAATTGTTATGAAAGAAACTTAATTTGAGAGTAAAAAATGACCTGTTCTCTTTCTCTGTACTTTGTGGCAAACTCTTCAGAAATGGGAACATTCAGATTAGTGAACTAAAGAAAAGAAAGAAGGCATGAAAATTCAATTAACAGTATTATGATATCTAGTATATATATATTGTATATTTTACAATAAACACTTTACATTTTAAACAGAATTAAAATCATTACAAACTGTAAGCATTAGAACTTTATGCCCACAGTAACCTCAGATGTTCCTTTCACATTTGAAAGAATCTTATAAATACAATTCCCAACTTTCAGTTTCAGCGAAAACAATTGGAGTTGGTCACGAAATAAAATTGTATTACATTTTATGTACAGAGAAATACTGATTAATGAGGATTCTCTTATAAGATGTACATTGAGTTCTGAACCAAAATTTAATTTTCAAAAATCTTCCTTACATTTCAGCATGATAGAGAAGTGTCCCCCTGCTATAGATATAACTACCTGTTGCTTGTTCCCCCGCCGTGTCATCAACACAAATTCTATTGACCTGTCTTCTTCTTTTGGCACCTCCTCCTCTTGCATTGGATACAAATTCACATTTACTGAAATAAAGTCTACAGTCATGTATATGTTCAGCATTTTGAATTTCATTAACACTGCTTCAATACGTAATTCACTAAACCAGTTGAATGAACAAGAAAATAACAATTGATCAAAACTTCCTCAGCCCTGCCACTTTCTATTTTGACTTTGTAGTGATCTTTTCACACTCCTACCTATTTTCTTGTTCTTGTCTTTGAGGTTCATTGGGACTGCGATGTCCAGCTGAGGAACTTTCAGAGACTCATTCGTACGTGCCTAGAAAAGGAAAATCAAGTCAATATCTTACAAAATCTATTTATTATATTTAGTACTGACAGCTTTAGATTTTTTTTGCAAAGTAATGATATTTGTATTCTGCCTCACAATTTAAATGTCTGAAATCACAGAGTCTTAACATATGCTATCTATGCCACTAAATACATAGTGAAAACTTTTAAGATTTTAGAACAAATAAAAGAAATATCTTGCCAAGATCATAACTTAATAAATGTATTGAGAAATGTGTGACTTTTGTGTCTCTTTAGCCAGTGTGGTAACTTATGGAGCATCTTCCTTTAATCCTCAAACCACTAACCTGAATGTTCTCCGACATCATTTTGTCAAAAGCTGTCATAAAATCCTCATCCTCCGTACACTTGATGTGCTTAGGGCCACCTTTCATAATTGTCATCTATAAAAGAAATGATAAAGTCCATATAGTGATTCAAACACGTGTTCAGAAAATACAGCCTTTTGTGAGTGAAAATTCCCGAAGGATGAAATTTGAAAGACTAGCTGTCACAATGGACTGTCAGAGTGATGCATATTTTCTGCAGGGCTGAGGTCAAATGAAATTAAAATTATAAACAAATCAATGTAATACTCTAAAGCCACCTGGACAAAGGGAAAGTTGGGTATGTTGCATATCCATCCATATCATTTTTTTCAGTAACCTCTAGATCCCAAAGCAACACAAACACATTTCATGGTAACAAAAAAGTACCAATTTGAAAAAATAACTTTTCCCTTATTCATTTATGGATATTGCACATCAACAGTACATTAAATGTTCTTTGCTAAAATTTTGCACATTACAGACTTTTTTTTATGTAAATACAACTTTCAAATGATGTCAAGAAATGAAGAGGTGGATCTACATATTAAAAGAGTAGAGGTGTCTAGCACTCAAACCAATGGTAGCACCGTCAACATATTAATTCTCCTCGCATAAATGTCAAATCTGGCTTCTCATTCATTTAATACAATAATTTCAGGTATTTTGTACTTCCCATTTGTACTTTCTTTTTACTCTTTCACTTTGTACTTTCACTTTTGCTTTCTCACCTGGTCGTCCTCTTCGTTTTCCCCCGCACTCTCCATGACATCGTCGTCTTCCTCATTATAACTGATTCCTCCCTCCTCTTCTCCCTGGCAAAACCATTACATGTTTGCAGTAATATGTTAACAATTTTACCACTCATTATGTCTTCAAAATCTACTTCATAGAGATAAAGAATAAAATCTATTCAGTTTGTACATTCCAAAGATGATCTTTTATCATGTTTATCACACTTAATCCCACACCGAGATCCTGTAAGTTACTTTAAACATTTTGAATCCTTTGGCAATTTTTGTGCCAGATTACATTAACATAAGAGGAACCATTCCTTTTTTTTCAACAGCAGTTCTGTGACCAACACATTATACCATTGCTATAACAGCCTGGGAGTTTCTCACCTCCTCATTGATACTCCTCTGGCTGATATCCTCCTGACTGGTTTCACTCTCATCCACCCCACTTAAACTTAGATCCTCACCTTCAAAAAAAAAAATTCAAGTTTTTCATTAACGTGTTTGACTGTGAGAGGAGTCAAGGACTAAAAGATGGAAGTCAAGAAATACTTTGTATTATTAGTAATATGGGTCGCAAAAACGTTTTATTGTTTGTGTTTTAAAATGATGGTGTTATTGTTAACAGATTATACTTAGATTTATAAAGTCGTGCAAAAACATAATGATGTTTGTAACTTCTGAAAATCAAAACAGAACTGTACAGGATTTGGATGTGTCGTTATTTCCAGTAACAATCCACATATTGTACAGGTACAGTATCAAAGCTGAATTGATGCACTGACCCCAGCCTTGATGTAGGTTTTACAAGACCACCTGACAGATTTTAAGAGGACTTTACACCCCCTCCCCTTACCATACTCCTCTGTCTCCTGTATCGTCCCCAGCCCCTCCTCTGTCTCGCTGGCACTTCCCTCCTGATCTGTTTCTATAATCGTCAACACGGAGGCTGAAATAATACAATGTTAGCTGTCAAGGTCTGTTAAACTTACAAACACAAATAACATGTCAGGTGTCCATTTCTATTCTGAATTTTATCAACTTAAAGGTGGACATTTCAAATTGGTAAAAAAAATTTTTCTTTGAATATATCTTTTAGAAAAAAGGAACAATTTAAAGCATATCAATTCAGGTTTCTTATTTTCAATTTTAATTAATACTTCTCTATTTTTCCACAGTGACTTAATACATGACCTACTTTTTGTTTACTTGTTCTGTGCGACACTGACCTACTCTTTGTTTGTACTCGTTCTGTGTGACACTGACCTACTTTCTGTTTGTACTCATTCTGTGTGACACTGACCTACTTTCTGTTTGTACTCATTCTGTGTGACACTGACCTACTTTCTGTTTGTACTCGTTCTGTGTGACACTGACCTACTCTCTGTTTGTACTCATTCTGTGTGACACTGACCTACTTTCTGTTTGTACTCGTTCTGTGTGACACTGACCTACTTTCTGTTTGTACTCATTCTCTAACTCCTCCACGGCTTTACCCGCCTCCTCGTAGTTCTGATGGAGTTTCAGTTTGGGTCGTACACACTCCATTGTGTCGATCATCAGGTTCTCTACGTCTACCGGGAACGGTCGAGTCTCCGTGAAGATCCCACTGCTTCTCTTGAACCAGTAGTAACGCTAGAAAAATATTACCGTCTCATTTTTTGTGGATTTGAGTACAAACATAAAAGCTTGAATAATCTTTTCATTTTAGTAATTCTTTACAGATCTAATAACAATTGATATTGAATGATAGAAAGTTTTAAAGAGCCATGAGGAGCTACTTGAAAGAAGCAAGTAAACAATCCCTTTTCTTACCTGGAAGTATGCCAGGAAACAATCCAGTTTCTTCTTGCTGGATCCCTTGTCAAAGTATGTACCACAGGTCTCCAGCAGCACACACACCAGTCGGATCCTGAACAAGTGCTCTGGTGGATCTAACGGGGACGGGTTAGCCTCTATAGAAAGGGTGAGCAGTTCATATATTTGCATCACTTATATTAAAGACATACAAAAAATATAGTTCTGTACTTCATATTGTTGTAATGAGTAACAAGAGGCCCATGGGCCTTATAGGTCACCTGAGCATTATTCAACAACTTTCCAGTGATTGAATTTGTTTTAAGCCAGATGCTATAGCATTTACAATTTGGTAATCATAACTATACACTTAGCAGTTCCTTAGTATGGTTACTTAATACCCATAGGCAGGGTAGGGGAACAAAAAATGCATTTCAACAAATCAGTAATATTCAGCAATAATCAGTAGTGCCGATACCACACAGGAATCCTTGACTCTTAGGCTTTGATCCACACATTGCACAATTTTTGGAAAGGCATCCTTGCTTTTCAATAAAATTTGATTAATACCAAGGAGCACATTTCAAACAATTCATTCATTTTCAGTATATAAGTACAGCCCCCCCCCCTCTATGGTACAACTGACCCTGGGGCCTTGAAATTTACAATTCTTGAAGATTAGGTCCCTTGCTCATAACTATATAGGTAGTTCATTTGCTTAAAACCTAGGAACAAAGAACAAAATATTCAAAGATTTAATGTTTTTTCACTATACATGTATAATCAATACAGCCCCCCCCCCCCCAACACCAGAATCCCTGACCCTGGGGCCATAAAATTCACAATTTTGGTAGAGGCACTCTTGCATATCATAACTATGTACTTAGTTTATTTAATACCCAGAAGCAGAGAAATGGATTTTCAAAGAAATAATGTATTTTCACTATATAATCAATAGAGCCCCGCCCTAACACCAGAACCCCTGACCCTGGGGCCATAAAATTCACAATTTTGGTAGAGGCACTCTTGCTCATCATAACTATGTACTTAGTTAGTTTATTTAATACCCAGGAGCAGAGAAGAAGATTTTTAAAGAAATAATGCATTTTCACTATATACTTATTTAGCCCCGCCCTAGCACAAGTACCCCTGACCCCAGGGCCATGAATTTCACAATTTTGGTAAAGGACTCAATGCTGATTACAATCATGCATACAGTTTGACTGCTTGATGTCCAGGTGTAAAGAAGAAGATTTTTAAAGATTGTATTAATTTTAGTGGTTTTGGCCCCACCCCCCAGGCCCTAGGGGGGCAGGGATCATGAAATTCACAATTTTTGTTCCCCTTTACCCATAAATGCTTTGTGCCAAATTTGGTTGAAATTGGTTCAGTGGTTGCAGAGAAGAAGCTGAAAATGTTCAAAAGTTTACGACCGATTGACGACGAACGACGTACGACGGACGACGACGGACGAAAACAGATAGCAATAGGTCACCTGAGTGACTCAGGTGACCTAAAAATGGATTTGCTGAAATTAAACTAAAGTTTAAAACTAAAGTTTGAATTATAAACAAGGAAATATATGCTCATTCAACTTGTGATGTGTGAAAATAGATTCATTTTAATGTATCAGATTGGCCATTTTCTCTTCCACCTCATATCTGCACAATCAAAAGTCTTCATTGTCTTAAGATCCATCAATTTTCAGTTCTGTCTTACCATCCATGACGACTCCGAAAGTGATGAAGGAGTAGAGAGTTTTGAAGATGACGGCGGACTCCACCATACGATAATTGTACAGCTCTCCCAGGTACTTAACACAGCTCACTCGCCTCTGGTTATACTTAGGGTGGTTTATCTGAAAAGCGTATTAATAGTTTACACTCATTGACAAATTTTCTTTCATTTATACAGCATATAATTTGAAATATGCATTACATGTATCTGTATCATTGTAAAAAAGATGCACTTTCCTTTGCTAAAAAATTATGATGCAAATCATTCTGCTCTGAATTTTTTTTTTGACGTTTAAGCTTTATATACTTTTTTTAAAAAATGCGAAAATGGTGTGATATCAAAAATTAACATAATTTTTTGATTAAGTAAAATCAATTTTCATGTAGCTTAGTTTCCTGTCAAGCACTGTAAGGTAAATATTCCTCAACAGTTACTTCTGTAACAGTGACGGTATGATGGATCTTTGCAAATACCACATGATACACAGGAGATAGTAATTATATATAGTACTGACCTCCATTCCTAGTCTAATGTCTTCCAAAACTCCATCTACCACCTGAATGGCTATGTGTTCCTGTCAGTAAAGCAGTAAAAAGATCATAATCACAGCATCACACAAGCATAGTGTTAAAAACTGGTGACTCTTTATAGTTACTCTTAATGCTACCTAAGTATAAGGAACACAAAGTGAAACAGTTTTATTGACTTGAAATATTTTGTTCATAATTGTAGAAGTCATGAAATTCAGTTGTCCGTCATACTTACGTGATAGGGAGCCAGACCAGCCAATAGATTGGCAGCACAGTGAATAGAGTTATAGCGTACATTCCACACGGCAATCATACACTTAGTGGCGTAGAACGCAATCTGTAATCATACAATACAGAAATCTATACAGCAATCATACACTTAGTGGCGTAGAACGCAATCTGTAATCATACAATAAAGAAATCTACACAGGAGTTCTATACTTAGTGGCGTAGAATGCAATCTGTAATCATACAATACAGAAATCTATACAGCAATCTAGGGCTGTGCAATATTACCGGTATATCGGTATATTGCGGTATTATCCACCATGACAATATATCGCGATATGAAAATCAGATACCGGTATTTCACGATATTTATAAAAATATATTTAAAAAAACCTCCTTTATTGTAGTAACTGCTGAAATAATTTTTGTAACTTCCCCAGGCCTTTTCAATCTAGTAAAAAAAAATACTTCGACAGCTTTCAGAAGCAGATAGAGAGAAGAGAGAGAGAGTCAGGAAGCTTTTCATTCACTGTCGCAATTTTAAATATCTTACTTTAAAATAAAATTAAAAATTAATAAAAATACTTTTAAATAAAATTATTAACTTATGAAAGTAAATATATAAAACATTTCTACAGGGTGTATAACATGTGTACTGTGGTTCTCAAAATCTCATGGAATCACAGGGACTTGCTCCTGGCGTGTAATAATTATTTATTTAAAAATCATATACCGTAATAATAAAACTAGTTTTATTATTACGGTATATGATTTTTTTTTATTAATAATTATTACACGCCGGGAGCAAGTCCCTGTGATGGAATCTACACGATCGACGATGAATGTTAAGTTCAAGATACGTATTACAAATAAATGGACATCCATGTTTTCAATTTATACAGTGTTGCTTTTTATTATTTTTTAACAAGTTTCATGCCATTTTAAACACCTTCATGCTATACCAGGAGCATGTATATTAAAACAATAGAAATAGGCCAATGGCATTCCTGATCGTATGTCATAACGTGAAATTAGGTCGGGTCAGACTAAAACACCAAACGCACGAAAATAGATCACAATGTCTAACTGGCTTTAATTTTATTCTATGACCACATAAAATTTCCATACAGTATGTATTGTTTTAATCATTAAGTTACATTTTATGCTATTTCAATAAAACACCCCCCCCCCCCAAAAAAAAAAACTATAAAGAATATACTATGCATAAACTTTTTTTCAATTTGAAAATACATCAAATGAGTACATTTTGTTTTATTTTTTTACCTAGTTTTTGATTAAGGTAGTACGAGTGTGAAATCAAAGTAATGGAAAACAAACTAGAGCCGAGCTCGTTGCAAAGCAACGAATAGGTCTTCCGTTGGAGCTACGGATAAGAAGACGTAACCTTGAGTCTAGGTCAAGCCACATTCTAAAGTTCTACAAGTGAAAATTTAAACCTTTTAAGAGAAGCAACTTGCAATGTTTAGCTAGGAAAAAGACTGTAAAGGAATATATGTGACCTTGAACTTTCCAAGTGACCTTGAACTCTCCAAATGACCTTGATCTAAGCAATGACTAGCTCTCGTTATAAAAATATTATCCATGTGTTACCGTCTGGAAAATTTCAAACATTTTATTTAGATATTCTTTCTGTCCATGCATCCAACCAAAAACATCTTATCCTTGGGGACTTTGAACTCGAGTCAAGGTCATGTACCACCCTGCATTATATCAGCAATGTTTCACTAGTAGAAAAATGGTAGCGGATTTACAGTTTCACTGTCACTAATCTTGACTCGTCCAAATGACTGGATATGTTCAGCCATGAGTTTTTTTCTGACTATAATCGAGGCAAAATGATTCATTGGGTTCAACACAATGTCGAGACTAAAGACTACTTGTTTGTACTTATAACAAAGGAACAGAATACTAGCCATTGCCATCTGACCAAAACTGTAGAAGGAGTAGTGTTTTAAAGGAATTTCACATACATTTCTATTTTTTGTAATCATGATGACAACACCGTTCATCGAAATCAAAAAAGATGCACTTAATTATGTATCACATTGAAGTATACTTGTGTGTCCAGTTATATTGAAATCAAACTAAAACTGTAAGAGGAGTAGCATTTTTAAGGAATTATATACAGAAATTTCTATTTTTAGTAACCATGGCAACACCGTTCATCGAAATCAAAAACGGATGCACGATATTTTGTATCTTAGTGAAGGCTACTTATGTGCCAAGCAATATTGAGTTCAGACAAAAACTGTTGAAGACGTCGCATTTAAAAGCATTCAAAAACCGATGCACTATACTATGTATCTTAGAGATGTGTACTTGTGTGCCAAGTTATATTGAAATCAGACCAAAACGGTATGAAGAGTAGTATTTTGACAAATTGTTTATAGACAGACAGACAGCTAGACAGACGAACGGACGGCAGACACTTTACTATCGCATCCCACAGACAGGTGGGACAGATATCTACATATCGAAAATAACCAAATTAAATAAAGAAATCATTTTTAAAGCATTGAATCGTAGCAAAAAAGAAAATATCAATGGATGCGACACTTTTCAGACGAGGTAAGAGATATGAACCTCTCATAAATACGGTACACATGTATCAGATCATTGCACGTCGGCAATCTAAAATGACACATATTATTTTTTTTCTTTGTACATGTATAACTAAACCCCCCCCCCCCCCAATTTCTTAAAAAAATGTTTGTACAATCAAGAAAATCGGTTACTTTTCATAAAGACTACGACGTTTCTTTCATTTTCAAGAACCGTATAATAACGAGTGCAGCGAGCTCAATAGAATAACGTGTAAGAAAAGAAGTTCGGAATTGTACACACGTCAAGCAAATTTTGTTGTGCAACATTCCCAGAGCTCCTTTACTACCCAATGTCCTTTGCGCGAACAAATAATAACACAAGTAACAGCTTTTTAAAAAGCTTGGCTGACTATGTCATCAATATCTATAGAATCTATGAGCATGATAAACTATAAACGTTTACATTTGTGGGGGGGGGGGGGGGGGGTTAAATTATTTCACTGGAGTAAATTATGGAGATGTTGAACAAAACATAAACCATATATAATACTGTTTGTATCTCAAATAAAAAATGAAATCATGATCATGTCCCGCTGTAGATTCGAACCCGGGACGAAAAGATGAACACCTCTGTCCGCAAGTCTAAAATGGTTTTAGAGGATGACGTAAATAAGGAAAAACATTTGATTCATGCTTGAAAGCATGGCTACATATAAAGGTGGCAGCTGAAAATATGATAACTACTAGTGCTAATTGTAACGGGGACCGTTACAGATGTTCCCCAAACGCTCCCCATGTCCCTTATCGTGCCTTATTCCTCTAAGACCTTTTATAAATATGCTAAGTATCCAAAGATTTCATTTAAGAATATAAAAGTTACAGTGATATCAACTATCAACGATATATTGTTTAACGTTTTGCATGCGCGCACACGTACATGTACATGCATATGCAAGATAAATATGGAATGTTGATTAAGCGATTAACATATCTTTCTATCCCGCGAATCAAAGAAAAAAATACACATATAAATTTACCATTTTTCAAGCATATGTCATATTTTTAATATTATTTCTCTACTTATTTTAACCTCGGGCTCAAAGTTGGTTTTATTCCGACGACAAGGCAGGGTTAAAGTCGACTAAGGGTATCACGCCAATACCTAACCAATCAAAATGATTAACTTATTCAATAGTAGTTCCATACATGGAAAAAGGGATTTTCCTTTCTGTTCAGATTTTTTTTTAATATTTCCTCTCAGGCCATTTTGACAACTCTGATACCTGTGCCTGGTAAATATTATATACCTTGTAAATAAATATATATAGGTTTTTTTGACCGGAACTATTCATTTTTTCCAATGCATAGGGGGCTACTCTCTGGGTTTTACAAGAGATGTTTAAAAAGACATTCGTGTCAGCTAATGTGACCTATATTGTTTAACACCTTCTTATTAATATTTTTTTCATGAATGCAAATATCTGATTATTTTACGAAGGAGCGTACATGTATATTGATTTTTTAATATACCGAAAATCGCTATATCTGGGGATTGCGTAATTCTAAAAAAAAATTCAAATAAATTTCAATGGTAAATTTAACAAAGGATGCTTGGTATTAAAATATTATTTCAAATCAGTAGAATCGAATGCTATTAACGACATCTGAATAAATAGGCTATAAAAGGCTTATATGCCAACTTTGGTCATCTGCACTTTAATTTTAAACACGACAGGATTTGTAATTTTTTCTGTATATATAAATTAATAATTTCTATATACTTTGGAAACTCAAATGAAATATTTTAATACACTTTCCTCGAGCTCTTTTCTGCAGTTTTCCTGAAATTTTATGTGGGTCCGAGGTGTTATTTGAGTTTAACAGTGATTCTCTACGTTGCCATTAATTTGATTTGTTTGTGTGTGTGGGGGTGGGGGGGTGGGGTACTTTTATTCTTAACCTATTTAACGTTGGAGTTGAATCTTGTATCTTATTCCAAGAACTTAAGATTGATTGTGACATTTGGATGAAAGGTCAAGGTCATTAAAAACCACCACCTCTTTAACTTCTAACCTGTCAACCGAAATAAACTCTGAAAGGTGTTTCTAGATACATGTACATGTACTTCATGTTTCTTTTTACCCTTGGGTCAAGGACAAAGGTTAAGGTCGATTTCAAGTTCATAGGTCAAGGTGATTTTGGTAAATAGTTAATATCAATATTTTATTCAGGTTACCAGTGACCTTGACCTAAGTTTCAAGGTCAAGGGTAAAAAGATCTGCATGCTTCAGTATGTTACATGTCTTGACATTTAGAAGTTCTTAATTCTGCATGAACATCAAACACTCAAGTATACTGTCTTTTAATACATTGTGTGCGGTCGCATGTGCATGCACGTCCATGTATTTACTTTTGATAGTAGTATAATGTAGGCAATCATTATATCTATTCATATTTGAAATTTCACCCTGTATTATTGAGAACCAAGAAAGTTGTAGGCATTTAAAGTTTTAGCCAATCAGATTGCAGCACACGTGCATGTGCGTGCGTTCATGATTATTCTTATATATCATGCTGTAGATCTTCATAATGTAAGACTATGTTCAAAGTTTCAAAGGATTTTGTCAGAAAACAAAATAGATATTAAGACTTTAAGTTTCAGCCAATCGCAGCGAAGGGCACCTGCATGCGCGTGAGATCTTGCTATTTTGACCATGTCATCATGTCTATACTACTATTATATCCTTATATTATGAGTTTCAAAGCATTTCATCCAATATTTAAAAAGTTACGGTTAAATCTATTATATTGGTCATTTCACGTGTTACACGTGCGCGCACCTGCACGCACGTGCGCGCAAAATGACCTTCGTTCCGCACATCTACATAACATACCTAGTGACCCTAAAAAGGTTTCACCTAGATCGGATGAGTAGTTTACGAGAACACTCGCGGACAAAAAAGTACCGGAGAACAAAGAAAAAATTCAGAAAAAGTAAAAACAATATGTTCCCAAACTTCGTTTGGGGAACATAACAAGAAATTGGGGATCTAACAATTATGACTGACGTGTAGAATATGATTACCGGCCGCCAGGAGGCGGTCGGTTATATGATATGAAAGTTTTAAGTCCCTGTGCGTTTCTGCGGAGCTAAAAATTTAAATAAAAATATTCAACATCATATCACCGGCGTTTTAATATTAAACAAAGATTTCTAAATGTTTAGGAAAAAGCACAATAATCGTAAAATTCAATTTTATAAATAATGGGGTAAATATTTCATCCAATCCTGATTGACAAACTCTGATACAACTGAAGTGCGGAGAAAATTAGTAGGAGTGTTAGGCATAGTCTAAAACAAAGACAACGTTGTAAATCAACAATTTTACTTTCTCTTTTTAAAACAGGATCTGCTGTATTAATTTGAAATGAAATGTATATTTAAACATTTCCTATGGATATTTTTAAAAAATATGATGAAATATTGATTTCTTAAAAGCAAAGAATATTACGACATGTTGGTCCAGGAGACTAGGATAGAGCGCGTTTTACAATGTGCCAAACATTTTCCCGCCACATCTCATTACCAAAACAAAGAGATTGAAAGAGAAGAAGTGTAGTGGTGGATCTTGAAGGAGTGAGGGGGGGGGGGGTACATCCTATAAGAGAGAGCGAGGAGCCCACATGTTAAATATTTGTTGCGTTTTTGTTAAGGTCAAACTATAGCTAAGTTTAAACTTTAGTTTTGTACTTTTAATGTAAAAACTACTTAAACAGCAAGTTGTGCCAAACTGAGTGCAGAGACGCAGAGGACTATTGCATAGTTTATATTGCCTATACATATAATACTGTACATGCATTATGCAATCGGCATTGTCGCATGCATTTTTTTTTTCATGTCACGAGGATATTTTAACAGATAAATATAAGAATTTTTTTTAAACAGTAAATTTCAGTTTCTGAAGAATTTTTTTTTTAGACAGCAAATTTAAGTTTCTGAAAGGAACTTCAACAGTTATATAAATTGGTTTGCGGCCAATTTTTTACGCTTGCGTCAATATGTTTCTTGTTGATATTTTCTTGGGTATGCCAAAGTATCAAAGATTGTTGGAAACGTGGGGAAAATAATTAACATGCATTCTCTGTAAGCACCAAAAAATCTTGGAAACGACATGTCTCCGATTTTGATGAAATTTGCACCACAGGTGCACCTTGGTACAAAACCAGCAAATATGGTGTTAGAAGTTTCCCACGTGCACCCG